AGACCTTGCTTATTTATTGACTAACCATTTTTTTTGTCAATTTTATCACAGAAAATACCTTTGATCTGTTCACCTAACACCCTCCATCTGTTGCATTGTTCATGAATTGATATATACCAAACCTTTATATTTCCCATGGATCCCAAAGCATGTTGATTGTTACCAACTTAGTGCGCTTGTTGTTCTTTCTTGACTTATGACACTTTGATGTGCTAGCCAGATCCTGTTTTGTGCAATTGGAAAGCTGGTGGCAAATTTTGAAGTCATTTCTGACTTGTTCTGACCAAACAAACTCAAAAAGAGAAAGTAAACAAGACAAAAGGAACAGAGTAAAGGACAATGGAAAGAGATGATTCCTAACAAGAAAATTACAAAGTAGAAACCTATCAGATATGGATACCAACTCTAATAACAATGATATGCACCTATGAATATTCTGTCAAGCAAGTCTGATGTTCAACTCCTGATATATCCCCAAACCATGAAATTGGACTTTAATGCTCCGATTATCCAATCTGATTCACAATCCCTATTCGACTTGTAGTGCCCGAAGGGTTTTCACCATCAAGCATCTCTCATTTTGTTCTTTCTCTCAACTTACAGTCGCCTCAAGGTGATCGTGAAGGTTCTCACCAATAAGACTCTCTCATTTTTTATTTCTCTCAGCTTTCATCGTCTTACGGTGCCCGTGAGGGTTTTCACCAATAAGACTCTCTCATTTTTCATTTTTCTCGTTTGGACCCGAATGTTGCCCCTGATATGATTCACCTCTACTGCTCGCCTCGGCATCTCTCGAATACTGATCGGAGGGTCTTTTTCTGGACCGTAATGTGGACTTTTGGATGGGGTTAGAAAGAAATGGTATCAAAAGGCTCAAAACAAACTCAACCGGGTTCAAAATTACAACTTTTGGAACTAGATTTTCTCACAACGGCCACAACTCTGCCCCAGTTTCTTTGATTGGGGACTTTTGGATTTTTATTTTGATGGGACCGAAACGTGAGGCTGCCTACTTATCCTTAAAAGGAATCAGGTCGAACGTAGTTCATGACATAGGAATTACTTTATTGTTATGATTTTCTCTTTTCTCTTTCTTTTTTTTCTTCATTTTTCTCTTTTTGTTGTTTTTTTCATTTCTTTTTTTTTCTTTTTCTTTTTTTCATTCTTTTTTTCCTTTTCTCTCTTTTCCTTTACTTATCTTTCGCGTTTGCATTTCTGATCTTTGCTGTTGATTCCAAAAGAGGGGTACGAAAGGAAATAAATAAGGCTCAAAGGGGTAACAAAGGATAAAATGTTTAGATAGCAAAATAAAATGTCTTCGTCATTCCAATCTTCAAAACCTGCCAAGTACAAACAAACACAATTTAACCAAAGTAATCATACATAATATCTTTTGACTGCATTAGAGTTGATAGCCATATCTACACATTTGCCTTCTATATCTGGACAACACTCTCATTACGATGAACGGCCCCTGCCAATTTGGGGCGAACTTGCCTTTTGCTTCAGCCTGATGTGGAAGGATACGTTTCAATAGTACTTCTTTATCTTCTATCTCCCCCAGTTTCACATAATTCGGGCTTTGTGATCTCAAAATCCCTTCACTTATTTCCCTCAAATGTCCATATCATCTCCCGAATTGCTTCACGATTAAACTAACTTTTAAAAACAAGGCTGAGAGTTACGTGTGCATGTCATGTCACTAGAGTCAACAGGAAAAGGACTATAAAAAGAAAAGATAACTAAACAAAAATGACTAGAAATAACATAAAACAGAAAATTTGCATTAGACAGATGGTGAAAGGGTTTGAACAATAAAACTAGCAAACTAAACTGGGATCACAAACCTGGAACAAACCTAGACAACACTAAACGAGCTAATGTGACTAAAAGAACTAGGGAAAATAAAAGGATAGAAGGGTTTGAGTCACAAGACAATATCCGGATTACAACCCTAAAAATAACCCGGACAACAGAAATGACAACAAAATAAACTGCCAAGACTCCTCCCTAGCTAGCCAAGAGAGGAGCGTCTTTCCAATTACCATGTTCTGCATCTTAGCCACTGAGTTCAACATCAATATTTCTAGAACCTTCACAAGTCTTCCTCTCATTGTCCTTAGCAAATTGCTTTTGGGACCCTTTGGCCGGCTCGTTCTTATGATCAACTTTCGGAACCAAGAGTGATAGCGCTGAAAGCTTTGCGGCAACTGGCCCTCCGAGGATCTCAGAATAGTTCTCATATTCCTTTTCCACATGAATCATGTCCTCCATATGTGTCTCGGGCAATGGACTTTGGATGGTATCTGCTGCATTTGGATTTTGCGCGGTAATGTCACCTACATCAATAAGCTTCTGAACTACTCCTTTCAGATGCCAACACTTTTCTATGTCATGCCCCAGGGCATCTGAGCAATATGCGCACCTTTGAGAAAAATCAAACTTCTTTGGAAGAGGGTTTGGCCTTTTTATCTGAATCGGCTTCAAGATGTCCAATTGCATCAACCTTTGGAGCAGACTAGCATACGGTTCTCCAATATGGGTGAAAGTATTTTCTTGTTTTAGTAATCTTTTCATTTTATATTCTGGCCTCGGTTGGAACCTTTTACGGGCAGATGGTTGATATGCCTGAGGGGGCGGGTGAGACATTTGTGGAAGTGGTGTGGGCCATCGTAGGCCTCATCGAGGTAGAGCATATGGTGGCGCATTGTGGACGGGGTATCGGGAATGTGATGTACGATTTTGGGGGTTTTGTGGAGAGAAGTAGCAGTGGGGAGGATTACAAGGATATCCGCGGGGTCGATATTGAGGCTAAAAGCGTTTAGCTAGAACGACCACTGGACCCTGTCGTCGGCGAGGCTCAGCAACATTTTTTCTATCAATGGGAGGACTATCCTGAGCAACTTGTTCGTTCCATCTAAGCCAAAATTCCTTATGACTTTCCTTGGGTTTCTTTTCCATCTGGGATAGGGAGGAGCGGTCGGGGACAATGTCTATATTATACTGAAAGCGTCGACAAAATCTTGAGCCACGTCACCCAATGTGTGTCACTTACCGGCATCTTGACGATTATGTCATTCCAGAGCTGTCCCAGTCAAGCTCTCACTGAAATATGCCATCAATAAATCATATTTCTCGCCAACACTTCTCATTTTACTGCAATAATCCCTCAAATGGGCTACCGGATCTCTACACCCATCATACAAGTTAAACTTTGGCACTTTAAAACCTGTGGGCAGGCGAATGTCAGGGAACATACACAACTCTTTGTAAGATATGTTAACCTGGTCTCCCGTCCCTTGCATGTTCCTTAAGGATTGTTCTATGCTTTTTAGCTTCCCGGATATCTCATCTCGCCCTTCTTTTCCTGTAACCTTTTCATTTTCAGCATGAAGCTCTTCCGAGGGCTCTTCTTGTATGAGTCAAGAACCTTGTGGGCAACCTTTGAGGAGTAATATTGGGCATCCTGAGCTTTGAGTGGGTATTCATTGTTGGGAATAGTGGATATGACAGGAGGGTAATTTTGGGGAGAGGTAATTGGAGGATGAGTGATGGAGCTGCTAGGGTGGTTGGGAAAGCTGTGATAAATGGGTGGATCTAGAGAGTATGGGGGATCATCCGGCACTATGACCAAAGTTTGGGTAAGTGTAGCATCTAAGAAGCTAGGTGGTGGCGGGGGTGGTGCCTTCCCAGTCATCCAGGCCTGATACATGTCCGTCATGTGTTGTCTAACTTCCTTACCTCATCAGCCAAACCAGTGTCATGTTCAACCAACTGCTTTCGGGCACCGGTATCAACCGACCCAATTCCGTTGCCGTCTGCCATTGCCTTTCGACCTTATGTTGTAGTGAAGAGTTACCACTTTAAGAACCACAAACCAACCACCTTTCTGCTAAATAAAGATAACGAAAAGGAACATAATGGGTTCATCCTGTTAGCTTTAGGGCATTTAACATCAAAAATATCACATTGCGTGCAATGCACCTAGCAACAATTAACGGTTCTAGAATGACTTCAAGGGTATGAAGGTCATATGGCATCATCCCAATTTGTTCATTTCAATCCTCTCCTTTCTTTGCTTTTTTAGCACTTCTTAGCTCGCTCATTTTCTTTCCCCTTTTTCTTTCTGATTGTCGCTCTTTTTCTTCCTTCTCATTTCTCACAGCCCATAATTTCACCATCTTTTTCTCTTTTTTTTTCTTTCTTTTCTTTTCTTTTGGTAATAATAAAAAAACGACTCGATCGAACCCTATGTAGGTTGCCTACGTATCATGACGCCACATGAATCATATCTTTACGTAGTTCTGAAAAATCAGGAATAAAGGAAACAAACTATCATTCTCCCTTTTTTTACCTTAATGACTAATCCGATGAGAAAAGAGAAATAAAAGAAGCAAAACCTTTTTTTGAATTTTCTAGACTTAATGTTCTATAACATATTCAAAACTCAAGCTTAACGGATTTTGTTTCTTTTTCTTTTCTTTTTGGAAACAAATACTCTATTAAGGAAAAATTCTAGAAGAGAAAGATATTTTTTGACTCCTTTTTTTTGAATTTTCGTTTGATATCCTTGAAGAAAAACTTCGTAATGAGAAATGAAAAAGATAAAAATTATTTTTGGATTTCAATTTTTAATTACCTAAAGGAGAAATTTTAAAAATAAATAGAAGATTCTTATTTCTTCTATGTACAATGTCCTAAATCTAGTAAAAATAAAAGAAATTTTTTTTCTATTCATTTTTTATTAATTTTGCAAAGAAAAAAACCTCAAAAGAAAATCTTTTTCGGATTTTTGGAATCAATATCTTAGAGAAAACCTTTAAAGATGTACTAAAAAATAAAAATTCTCTATTTTTTAGTCCTAATATACTAAAGGAAATATAAAAATAAATTTTTATTTTAAGTTTTAGATATTAATTGCCTAAAGGAAGAACCACATCAAACGATTTTTTTTCCAATTTCTAGGAGTAGTATTCCTAAACAAAATTCTAACGAAAATATAAAAACGCAAAATATCCTTTTTTTGGATTTTTGATCTATAACACATCTTTTTCTAATACAGAATAGGAAATACAATAACGAAAGACCCAACATTACTGTACAAAACTAGAAGGTAAAAGACGACATAAAAAAACAACAGACTTAAAACATAATAACTAAAAAAAATCTCCTTAAGCAAACTCCTGACTGGATGGTCCTAAGGCGTCTGTCATGCCCAAACTCTCCGATAAGTAGATCCACACTTGTATGAGAAAACTGAAACCAACACTATGTGAGACAATAACATTCCTTACTAGACACATGTCAGACATGATTGAAGCTATTTCTGCAAAATTAACCTATGCGGCTAAAAGTGGATAAAATGCAAGATTTGGCTAAGACCCCGCGAAGCCAAGAACCTAAGACTTACTAGGAAGACCGGACCCTATGTGGGTTGCCTACATATCACGCCCCGAAAGACGAGAATCAGGTATGCGTAGTTCGGGCAAATTGGATACGGGCAAGAATTAAAAAAATAACTAATTTAGAAAAAATATTTTTTTTGTCCTTTTTTTAAAAAAAATGATGAAACATGTAAAATCTTTTTGGATTTTCTTTATCCTCTTTTTTTTTGATTTTTGATTTTCGAAAAATGACAAAAAAAAAGTGCAAAATCTTTTGAATTTTCATGTTTTTTTTCCTTTTCTTTTAAAAAATGTGAAAGAAAGCATAACTGGGCCCTACTTGCCTTATTTTCATACTTCACTCTTTTTTTTTTCTTTTTTTTTTCATTAGCCCTCAACTATCATTGGTCCGCCAAATGACCCTTTTACCCTTAAATAAATGCAACACATAGCACATAGGATGCATCAGGATAGTCTTTTATTTTTGGGTACACCTGTCCTACACGGACCCAATCTCTGTGTTGAGTCTCCAAAGTCAAATGCACATGATGCAAACAAACGTTCCTACTAGGGATCCAGCATGAGGCTGAGTTATTCCAAGTATAAAACCTGGGTATACTGTTCTAGACTTGGGCACCCGAGCGGACCACTCGAGCCGGGGGGCTGCGTACCGATAACCAAAAGATCATTCGACTTTGCAACTTGTCTGAACCTCATTCTATTTGGGATATGACACTAATAAAAAGAAGTCACGACCAGCATGCACTCCTCAGGAGAGAGAAGAAAGAGGTTTCGTAGCAGTTTATATATACAGTTCAGATAATATCAAAGCGGTAAAAAGCAACATTTAGCACATTAGGCCCAAACATGTAATAAAATCAGATAATAAATAAAGCCAAATATAACAATTCACCCAAGCTTGATTTCTGAACCCTGAACTAGGAATTCTGGGTTCGATCCCCAGCAGAGTCGCCAGAGCTGTCACACCTCCTTTTTTCCTACACCCCCCGGGAAGGGGAATATAAGGGAGTTTTTTCCAACTTAAAGTAACAATCGAAACGGGATTATTTTATTAAAAATTCAGAGTTTCCACTTGGGATAATTTAGGGTGTCCCAAGTCGCAAGTATCAAATCCCTAATCGAGGAAAAATTGACTCTGTTTTACAGTCCACCAACACAGAAATCCGGGTAAGGAATTTTGTTAACCCGAGAGAAGGTATTAGGCATTCCCGAGTTCCGTGGTTCTAGCACGGTCGCTCAACTATTATAATTGGCCTATTTATTGATTTTAGTACATGTTTTAGCATATGGTGCAATTTTAACTTTATAACCGCTTTTATTTAATTATTTTTTTAGGAAGATTTCAACCTTATTTAAAACACGTCTTGAACCACGTCACATAAATGCGCCCGCGGTCCCCGACATATTTTATCTAACATTGTTGAGATTTGGATTTGGGTCACATAAATGCGCACCCGAGTTTAGGAAGGTAAATTATTAAAATAACGCGCCTAAAGCAACTCTGCACTTTCAACTTTGTGAGGGCCATGGAAAATTCAACTAAATAGCATGCCTCGATTTCTAAGGATTGAAATTAATTAAGCGAGGGCCATGCATTTAAGAAAGCAATAAGCCTATCTATAAATGAAATAGAGAAATGCTAACCTTTTCAATTTTATAGTAATCCTCAGGAAATCATGGCACCACATCTCAGTGTCCCACGATAATATGGCTTAACCCATTTTTATTGCATAATTCCATAACAATGCTAGGCGATACAATTTATGACTTCCAAATTGACTTGATATTTCAATATGAAATAAAATGAACAACGATCTATCCAAAATAAGCTTTTCAAGTGGTAGTGTAATATTTTTAGCTCGTAGCAAAACTATAAGTTTTTTAAGAATTATTCAGCAAGAATAAGCAAGGAGGCAATTCATTTGTTATTTTAGAGATGAAATCAGGGATAACTGCGACCAATATTATAATCAATCTATTCAATCTATAATTATGGACAAATCCTCATTGCCCGAACCAAATTGCAGATACTTTGCATTCTTAAATACAATTCAATTCTTAATAATTGCACTTTTATTTCTGGATCCAAGTAATTAGAAAGAGAACGAAAACAAGAATAACATAAACTTTCTTAAGCTCAAATTCTTACCATTATTAATCAAGTTTCAGATCTGACTTTAAACCAACCACGCCTAACTTCAAATCCTCTACTAACATTACTTTAAGCCAATGAATTAAAGCCAGAACCGGATTTGGCGTTATAACCAAACGAGCACTAACAAACCGGATCAACAAACAAATAAGAGAAATTACAAATGAAAACTGAGGTGTGGTGCAGTGATGAACACAAAGAAAATGACCACGAAATCCAATTCTTCACGGAACCAATCAACACATGAAACAAAGGGAGAAGAAAAGATAAACCTCTATTAATCTGAAATTTAAATGACTTACAATCTGAAAATGCTAATCGACGGGACTAACAGGAAACGTAGCAGCGCCGGAATCACGAACGGAACTGAACAGACCCAGCTCAACTGGAAAGCAAACCTCGGGTTGCGGGGCGAGATTGGAGCTTTTCCCCCAATAATTTTGTGATTTTGCTTTTCGTTCCCCCTCTTTCTCACTGTTTTCGTTCACTATACGAGCTAATCCCCTATTTTCAATCTCCTGTTCTATTCCCCCCCCCCCCC